TCTGAGACCCGTTTGTGATGGTACTGGTACGGACGGCATTTGCCCGGTGTTGATCGAAGAACCCACGGAAAGCTCCCGGTCAAAGCAGCCGGCCGCTAGAGTATTCTTCTCCAGATTGCGGCGGAATTCGACCTAGCTAGTGTCGAAAATACGTGACCGTTGGGACTCGAAACCTAGAACCTCCCGAAGTTTAGTCTTTTCAATAACAGATAAATTGATGTTCAAAAGGAAAACATGTTAACTACCAGCCTAACCTGTTTTTCTTGTGTGCAACAATTACTCGTTGAGAGATTGTGTTTTATCTGCACGTTGTTCGTGGATAACACATTCATCAATTGATAAAATTGACGACAGAATATTTTGAGGGTTCTTTTTACTTTCCCGACACACTATGAACTTACGTATGCGTAACGCTGGGGCAAAAATAAGCGTTTTGTTCAACAGCAATAGATTTGGATTTATTTAGTAAGAAAAACAGTAAATACTGTATGTTACGTATGGGGAAGAAGATCGTCTGCGCACGTTTTCTTGAATTCCAGAATCTCTTCGCATCATTTCAACTATAAATAGCTAAAAGACGAGTAAAAGCTTAAAATAAATAAATGAATTTAAAAAATTAAAAAGTGCGAGATTAGCAATATTAGAAAAAAACTAGACATTTTCATTCCCGAGTGATAGAAAACATTTGCATCCGTAAATTGCAGGTATGATTTTTCTGCATTGCTAATACTCGTATTGTGGGGCTGTGGGATCCAAAAGTGGGAAAATCTTGTTCTTACATGTAGTAAATTACTTGCCCAACAAATTGTGGTCAGAACCTACGGTCTTTTCTCGGTCGTAGATACTGAACAATAAATTGACGGCAAAACGTCTGTCGGTGTGCAGTCTACGCTTCCGCCTATAGCGTTCAGACTATTTTCTCCAAAAATGATACTCCCCAAAGAATTTTAAATTAATGTTTTGATTTTTGGCTTTAATTTAGATCTAGATGAAGCCTCAACAAGATTTTCAAAATTTTCTCAAAATGGATTCTATTTTTTATTTTTATTTTTTATTCTGATAGAGCAAAGAACGCTTAAAATGGCATAGGTCTAATTTTTGTTGAACTCTGAATTTTCAAAATTACTAACATTACAAATAGTGTGAGAGAATGTGTTGTTGTAGCATCATTAGCTCCTGTTACATTACATGGGGAGTGCAATGTTTTTTACAGTTGAACAGCTTAGAAACAAAACCTTCAATGCGCATGGGCCAACATTTTGATTGACAGCTGGTTTCCTTCCATTACAAGTGACTGCCGCCTGACAGTTTTCTTAACTTCTCGTTTAATGTGTAAGTATACTCTGTTCAGGACCTGAGCCATTATTTTGATATTCATTTCTGCCACATTATAGAGGGAGTGTCAGTGAGTAAATTGTAGGAATGATTGGCATTCATTTCACGAAAGTTGCGTAACTCGTGCTGAGGCTGACGTACTCCCCATTATTACGTCATCCAGTCAACCGAAGAACGTCTGCACAGGAACAATTTATTTATGTTTCACTTCACTGTAAAGAGATTTTATGCACATGAATTACTCTTTGATTAAACGCTGTTGTATTGCCAGGTGAGTTGAAAGGGTGGTAAAAGTGAATAACAACGTCCAATAGCATGTGGATCCTAAAAGAAGAGGTGCGGCCGCAACTACGATCCTAGGCCCTATTTCCGTTACTCGTAAACTTGACGAATTTAAACTTTATTGATAGAATTAATAAATACAATTTATTTTGTGATAAACCATTTACATGGTTGTCAGGTGAGTTGGAGTGTATTTTCCCCAAATTTAAAATAATTTCCCACATTTTCAACAGAAACTAATGGTGCTACAAGAAAAATAGTCTCTTGGAATTTTTTGGCGGTTTTGCAATTTTTGATAATTTAGTGAGCTCAACGAAAATGAAAACATGGTCATTTGAAGCGCTCTTTTCTCTACCAAACGAAAAAAAATAAAGAGAAATTGGGAGCGGGTTTTTTAGAAAACAAAAGTAACGTCTCTTGGCTTCAAGTATAATTTACACGAACACTAGTAGTATTATGAAGAAATTATACATGACCTTATTTAATGATCATGATGATAATGATTTTTTAGAACCCATTTCTTTATGGGGGGAAATCTACCATGAATATTTTAGTTTTTCAATGTTAATATTTTACAATTTTCGAAAACACAGAGATTTGACCGAAATTGGAGGCAGGATTAATTTGATAAGCTTACTTTAAAAAAATTAAAAAAAGAACAAATTTGAAGCTGACTTTTAGAAATTAATAGTTTAAAAATTGGATATATTCCTGCAAAATTGCGCGAAAACTACTCATATTTTCGAAAATTATACATGCCTTTATTTCAAGATCTGTCTTTCATCAACAGAGTTTATTAAAGAAAAAAATCTTTCTTCGAAATTGGTGTTGTAGAATGAAGCAGAAAAAAATTTGAGCTTTTTCAATATTCGAAACTTTAGAGATTTCAACGAAAACTAGATCTGCATTCTGTTTTAAACGACCTTTGCACAATTCAAGGAACAAAATTAATCAAGCAATTTGAAGCAAATTTGAGAAAATTTTGAAAATGTTAAGGCTACATGTAAAGAATCCCCAAAATCCTAATATACATTTCAAACTTGCTGGTTATCGAGTTCGTCTAGATCTATTGGGGAATACCAGTTTTGGAAAAAACCGTCTGAACGGTTTAGGCACTTGTGTTGACCACAGACAGATGGACAGGCTTTTTGGCGCCAACAATTTTTGCGGTATCAATGACCCACAATACATGAACTCTCACAGCAGATGTGTTAGAGAAACTAATTTACTTCATATAGCAACAAGGTTTATCAACTTTTTCGATATTTGGGCCCAATTGTGCGAGATTTTCTGTCGAAAAATGACCGTGTTTTACTGCAGTAATAATTTATACCAAGTGTTGTTAAATTTACATGTTTCCGCATTGAGGAACACGAACACACACATACATTTTTTAAAATTTTAATATCTTCGGCACTGACAACATTTGTGTTACTACCGGATAGTTACTTTGTGCGCGCAGCACAAAGCACGGAGGGAGTTTGAACGTGATGGTCAGTAAATAAGGAGAAGGGCGGAGAATGCAGAAGAAGGATTTCGGATAAATTGGGAAGTGACTATGAAGTAATGTACTCTTGAATATTGTCAAAGCACCTCATAGTCGGTAATGCCTCAATTGACTAGAAGACGAGCCCGGAAGGTATTTTCGACGAAGTTCACAATCAAATTAGTTTAAAAAAAAATAACGTCGAAGTGATACTAACCACATGAGAAAATATCTCTAAAGGCACCACTGAGACACTTCAAAACTATATAGTCAACTAATCCTCATATCATCAATACCGTGTAATTCGAGAATAATTGTAGAGGATATTTAATTCGCGAATCAAAGGAAAAATCCTTATTCACAAGGCCAGATTGGTTACGAATTGCTGATTCCTCAACCCGACAATACCCCGAATTCGATTCGTGGATCACACATGTGATTAAACCAGTAATCGTCATGGAGAGCAGTAATCAAATGACTGCTACTGTCCATTACGACTACTGGTTTCATTTTTATGACCAAGAATTTTGTAGAAGAATGTTTTCTAGCCATCCACAAAATATTTGGCTCCTGAAGATGATACCAAACCCTAATTTCGAAATGTTGAGAATAAAGTCAATAAAGTTTAAATGTGAGTAAAAAGAATCACGGTTACTTCAAAATGTGTTTACAAATATTTCATTATGTAACATGAAAAACAATGTAGAAAAACTAAAGTTTATGTCTATCATTTAAAAAACTGGACAAAATTGAATGTAATTTACATACTTTTTTTTAATATTCTAGCCAAGAGTAATCCTGTATCCACTAATCCTAGGGTCGTCTCAGTTTGAGTTATCCTTATCTTTAACGTTAACCTTATCCACGAATTCCTCTATCTGCGGATTCGACGTAGTGCCACGCACTTGATATCGAAGGCAGTTGGTGCTATTTGAATCAGGAACGATTGTTGCACACGCACTTGGCGCCAATCGTGTGGTCAGTTGACTGTTTCTTAGCGTCAAGGAGCCTCGTCTGAACTCCATCCCACAGACCCCAGAAGGAGGGAATCCGCTATATCGCGAATCCAAACCCTGTCTTCGGGGGTTCTTTTATACAACGCACATCCATTCCGCTTGATTGATGATTCCGAGGTCGTCAACTGCTAGGGTCATTAGTCTTGTAATTATAATGCATGTTTTTTGCTCGGAAGGTGACTGTGATCTTTCCTCGCTGGATGGCGAGTTCCGGTAACGTCCTACAGTCGGGTACCGTCCTACAGTCCCGACCTAGCGTTCGGTATGTGTGGTAGTGTAGTGCATGTTAAGTGTGTAAGTAAGGGGTAGGATAGGATAAGGAATGGGTGGGAAAGATCACGCGTTGTCCTTGGCCGGTCTGTTACGGTACTGCTCCGGAATTCGCCTGGTATTGATCGAAGAAAGTATGGAAACTACCGATCAGACAAGCCGGCCGCTAGGATTCTTCGCAGGCAGCGAGTGAATTCGACCTAGCTACCCAGTTGGTGCCGAAAATCGTGCCACTGTCGGGACTCGAACCTAGGACCTTCCACTGATAGAAACTGCAGTGACAAGATGATGCCCTGAACCATCTGTCCCGGTCCCCATCTTCCGCTCCCCCGCCAAAGCCGCACTATTTTGTCCACCACCTTCACTGAAGCGGCCCACTGTTCCGCGGTGGCGGCGAAGGCGGCGCGCCGCGGCGGCCGCGGAGGCGTTGGGCTGAACACAACACGCGGTAGTCAGCCCGCGAGGTCGGACGCGGCCGGCCCGGCAATTGCAAAGGGGAGTGCGGTCTGTCGGTCGGCAGCGTGGCGCGCGCTTGACAGTTGCTACGGGGAGTGCTATCGCGTGCGGGCGCAGGTGCCGGTAGCAAATAGAAGTCGGCGATGAGCTCGCAGAGGATGGCGCAGGTCCCCAAGGCGCCCCAGGAGGTGATCGAGCCCCCTGTCAGTGCGCTGTACCCGTCCCTCGTCGAGTCGCCGGAGTTCAAAGGTGAGTTCGGGTTTGCCATGTGCTTTTGTTTAGTTTGGTTTTTATTGGATGGTATGATCGTAATTTTGTGCCAGCCGAAACGTACTCAAAACTGATACAAAAGCAATCAAATGTCTTTCAAACAGCTCCTAATTCTATGGTTGTTGATCGATGTGAGCTGTCAATTTGCATTTAAATGGAGAATAAAGAACAAAAGGAATATTGCGCTGCTAGCAGATTCAGGGCTTGAGTATTCAAACGTTTTAAACTAGATGTGAGAATTAAGGGGTGTGGTTAGAATCTGATTAGTCTCTATCAACCCACTCTACCCGTCTCTCGACTCACCAGAGTTCAAAGGTGAGCTCTGGAACGCCATGCGGTTTTGTTTTGTTTTCGTTTAGTATGTACCAACGTCGTGTTTTTTTTTCTCTACACAGTAGCTGAAATCCCGTAGATGAGTAGGCTGCATAAAGTAAGGTGTCGGAATATAAAAGAAATGTTTGTTGCTGAATTACGAGAACCTCAAACTCTCATCGTAAGAGCAATTGGTTAGAATATCTGGAGCTAATATTATATTAAAAGGAGCTGCCACTTTCAATAAAACGTCCAATCACATCGTTGAAATATACTTAAATTCGTTGCTGATTTTATGATTTTTTAAAAATTTCATTTAAATGTCTTGATGTTTTATGAGTACCTATAACGTATTTATTCTGTATTCAACCATAAAGAAGCATAGGATAATCGTTCGTCCTAGCAGAGGCGTGCGATTTTTCTATTTTAATAGAATATAAAAGGCTTCTGACAGTTGGTCGCGCAACAACGATGCCAACTGACAGGTGTTCGCCCGTCACTGATACCTGGCAAGTGATAACGCACTGTCCGGACTCGCGGAAAATAATACAGGCAACTCTCGGAAGTTATATTCCCTCTTGTTTACAGGTTTCTTTCGTAAACAGTTTTATTCTCACTTGTGTACAGTTTTCTTCCGCAATCTGTCAAAAAAATGATATGTCGCTCTACAGCTCGCTCACGACGTTTCTGGGAAATTTAGGTTTCCATACCTGTGCGTTTATACATATAAAATGTGGCCATTTCCGACATTATTTAGGGAGAGTTGACCTGAGAAAACCTGCTGAGATGGGCTCGTGACGAGGCATTGCCAACTCACTAACAAAAAAACAAAACAAAAAAAACAAACGCGTCCAATCTTCGCATCATTCTCCAGAGTAGCCTTCTTCCAACCTCACGTGAATAGGAGTGGTAGTACTTCTTTCCTTTTTTACTTTTATCCAGTGGCACAACCAGTTTTCTGTGAGGGCTTTACACATTCAGTCAACTAGATATTTTCTTACAAATAATTTGACATTTATGTTGAATTTAAAATTCATTGAAATTTGTTGATTTATATTTATTTGTAACATATTCATTTGATATATTGAGCGACTTCCATTATTATACAAAATGAGTAAAAACGACCTTTGTCATTATTTTATTCATTCGTTTCTTTGTTACATTTTCTTTTTTATTCTCATTTAGTTTCATTTTTCTTGCTCCTTTTCTCCTTTTTTTGTTTTCTATCTTTACTTCTTTCCTTTTCTCGCGAAAGTTTAATTTCATATTTCAGTCATCCCAATTCTAATATAGTAATCTAGAAATTGGCGTAAATAATCAGTTTCTTTCTGGGCTTTTGCCAACCGTGAATCTCTTTCCGTTTTGGAAAATGCTCTACATCAGCGTATTTCTAGCTTCCCATCTACGTGTGAGCTGTTGGGGCAGTGTGAGTCAGCAACACTCACTTGCCTGTGTGCCTGCCGGCGGATTTCCGCCCACTGAATGAGAAGGTCGTAACCGCGCACTGATGTCATCTGGTTTTTCGCCTGCTTGACTGGTATTTGAAGTACCCTTGTTGAACAGGTGGGATATACAAAAAGATGCGGAAGAATCCTTGCTGGGGATGTAAAATGCAATTTGCCTTTTTCTGTAGTGACTATATTGGTTTGAGAAGACAATTGAATATTTTAATAATATTAAGCAGAAAAAAAGTATCTTAATAGTTTGTACAAACTTATGCGTATCTTTTAATTGTTGGCTTTGCCTTTGCAGAGGGATCAGAAGTCCAATACATCGAAACTTGTATTTTCGACTGTGGTCTGTCGATCAAATATCCTTTGGAATAAGGTGCTATAATTTTGTAACAGTTTAATTACGGGTAGCGTGTCTGGAATTTTCTTTATGACAGATATTTGTTTACATTTACTTTTCAGTCCACCGAGTAAACTGTGATATTCAACCAGTTTTGTATATTGTTCACTAATTAAATATTAAACATCTCAAACATAAAGCTACGTGATGTCAGTGTTACATCGTGTAAAAGGGAGGAATTGTAATTGAGAAAAGATTTCATCACGTCCGTTAGATTGAGAGTGAGCAAACAGACACCGACATCAGCGACTGATTTGGCGTGTGAAAGCGTAGTGAGAGAGCCCGCTATTTTAAGGTGCTTACGATGATGTACGTAAAGTTTATGAAAGCTCGAAATACGATTGCGTACTTCTCTTTTTTCCGGACGGTTATTGTTGATGCACTTCGCCTGACTTGTAAATAGAGTAAATTTAGCTGTCAATTTGGACGAACGCGTGCGTGGGAGTGTTGGTTAGGCGGAGAAACCTGGTGCGCGGGAATCGGTTTTCTTGCTCTTCTCGACCAAGTAGCCTCGCTCCCATCATTCGTTGACCAATATAGGTATCTTGTTCTCTAATAGTGAAACATAAAATAAGCAATTAATGGCTAACATGATTACTAATATCCCTAACAGGGGTCAAGATTGAAAAACTGCGCAGAGAACAGATGATAATTTACAGACTTAGTGCTATTCATTTGAATGTGCAGTGATTTCACTTGAAGTTTAAAATGCCCATTCCAGACATCCTTTTTGCTGGCAATGATGATGAACGTACCACGACTTTGAACATGTAATCGATCGTAATGTCTGTTGGGACTACCCCACATTTACAAATATACTTGGAAGCAAAAGTGCATGTATGATATGCACGATCAATTCGTTACGTAGTCCTAACTAACGTCTTCAATTTCGGTAACGATTACAATGAAATAATTTATTCATTTATAATAAAGTAACAACAACGTTTTAGAAACCGGAAAATATATTTCCGAAAACGGCCAGTTTGCACAACGGCTAGTAAGTGCATAGTGAATATATGAGGCACGTAAAATATTACATATCTTATTGAAAACTTTAACCAATATAACAACAAACATCACACACACATAATATATATATATATATATATATATATATATATATATATATATATATATACATATACATATACATATATACAAAAATTAAGTGCAGAATTAGACGTAATAGCCGAAATTCAACAAAAACGTTTGAATTTCTTATTTAATATTCATTGAAATTTTCGTGGTGTGAAAGTGATCCGCAAACAACAGATCTGAAATGGTTCTTTGACACATCTCTCGAACGTTGCTCTTATCGATGCGGCGCACGTTTATTTGGTGTAGCTTCAGGAAGCAATCGATCGCTTCCAGGTGCGCCGTATCGTCGCCGCCTCGTCTCGCTGCGTAGTAATCGAAGACTGCTGAAGTAGATGGGTCTATTTATTTATTTATTTATTTATTTATTTATTTCACGTCAAAAAGAGTTAAAACTGGGTGTGACGGGCTATGGGGAGAAGTTAATTTGAAGCTACATTTATGACCAGAAGCAAAACAAGGGTCTCTCTGGACGAAACTGAACGAAAACCAGATCGAGATGGAGACATTGACCAGTAGCTGAAGTACAATACTTGTTAGAGGTTCTTTGGAATTATACAATCCAAATGGAAAATAATACATTAAATGTCATTGTTAAAATTAATATTAATTTCCTTTTGGATGCTCGGTACAGTCTCTAATTGTATAGAAACAGTTGTGCAGAGGAAAAGATTTTCCTTGGGACTTCAACTTTCGAATCGGATTTAATCGTTTAATGTCATCTGACAAGGTGTTGTAAAATAATGTATATGTATGTGAATTTTTTTGTATTGAGCTGTTGATACTGTCATCAGGTGAATATGATTACTGCGTCGAGTGTTGTACTTAAAAATATCGGCGTTTGCGTCGTCCTTAAGTAAGTCTTTCTTGACAAAAACCACTGATCAAGAGACGATGTAATGGTAAAATACCTAGATTAATAAAGAGATGCTTACAAGAATCACGTGGATGGGATTTGCTTATTATTCGTACAATTCTTTTTTGTAATCTAAAAGTCTGGAAGCTACACCGGGGTGCGAATGGGCGAGGGATGTCGGGGGCGCCTCAGCAAATCAAAGTTTGATGAAATCTTCTGAGAACGTAGTTATTCATTGGAACAATCATGATTGTTTGATTGAATATTGGAGAGGAGTAGAAGAAGGTTAAGAGCGAATGGAGGAGGACGGGAAGGAAGGATAAAATGTGATAAAATGGAAGGAGAAGGGAACCTCCTGCCAAGAATTTATTAATGTTTAAAGCACCAAAGTACATATGCTTTTCTTTTTGTTTAAATTATAAACTTAAATATAGAATTATTGCACAGGGTTAACTGTCGACAAGTACCATTGATATTCTTTGTTACGTTGATTGGACGAAAATTACTAGTGTAATTACTTTAGATTGGTATGATTTCGTACATGTTGGTAAACATGTTGCATTCAAGGTTTGTGCTGGCTGTAGTGTTCATTTTAATATGTAAGTTATCAGATATCAATCTGCATACGGTTTTGGTGTTTTCCGTAGTGGCCACTGGTTTCTACGTTTTACCTAATTTTCTATTTGAAATTTTAATCAAATCCATCAAAATTTGTCGCTTCGGCTGATACACGGTTTCATAAATCCGTTAAACATCAATAGATGCATTTAGGTCGGACAATGTTGAAGGTACTATGGCAATAAATGTTACTAGAAAAATTGGATAGTTTATTGAGTTTCTGTCATGAAAATGTATATTGCAGAAA